TCTTGTTCTCGCAACACTAAATGTGCTTCGCTCTACTAAAACTTCATACTGTATCCAACTCTTATCACATATTTATGAATCAATATCAGATAGTTACCATCCCTTATGTTCGCGAACATGGTGAGCAACTGACAAACAGGTTGCAGGTGTTTTAAGAGCAGGTCATTTGGGTTCCTGACAAAGGCCCAAAGGGACATAATGGTACGAATCCAAAAAAGGACATTCATCGGACCACAGATATGTATCGGTGCAGTTACATTACGGTGATAAACGCTGTGCGATGTACTGTTCATTGCACTGTGTACCTAACTGTCTGTCAGCGTATCCCAATTATGTAGATCGATGCTCATGCTGTTGATCACTGGATCTGGTCTAGACACGATTATTTACAGACCGCCGCCATATAGTTGGAATATTGCTTAGTGATGCGTAAAACTAAACTCACTCACTTAACTGTCATTGTTCATTTTGTGAAACGTTTATTTTATTTAGTGTAGTAGTGACAGTATGACTGCCAGAGTAGACGTGCAACAGCTGTTTGTGTCTGTGTGCGAGGATGATATATGCAGGAGTGATTACTGTTGTACGCCCCAGCCAGGAAATATTCACGCCCTGGCACGGTAAACAATACTGTGGGTAACCAATTGTCTGGATACATTGTCACAACGGGTTCCATAATAAAACCATGCAATCTCCATTCGTTGGCTCTAACAACTCACTTGAGGTACTGGAGACCTATAATGTCTGGGAATCCAGAATATATACTACTCAAAAGAAATTAGAGAAAAGAATCGGGTCTTCTTTGACCTCTTTCCCGTACTGATACAAGGAACAATAACATCTGCAGGACATACAGCTTCACGTGGTTTGAAGAATCGGTTGCAAAGGTATTTAATATCCATCATATCTCAAGTATTTGATAATTATTATGATACCAAAACATTGTTCATTTGACCTTACTTGACTGGAATTATACATTCCTTCGTTCATTTAAAAAATGTTTGTCATTGCGACTCTTCGACTTGTATCAGTACGAAATTGTTTTTGCATCATGTGCATCTCTGTAAGAATGTGCTACTTTTCTATGTAAGAATGTGCTACTTTTCTATGTAAGAATGTGCTACGTTTCTATGTAAAAAGCTGTTAGTTTTCAGTATTAAATGCAAAATGTATCTTTCCTACCGGCACTTTCAATTGGTCCGGACTAGAACAGGCAGTCACACATACACACAGACGCACAGGTGTGCATACACGTCTCTACATAGTTACCATAATCCTGAACGAGAGTGAAACCCCATTTCACCCCACGTCAATTCTTCACAGACAGATCGTAACCTGCCTCAGCTCATATGATCCTTTTTGTCAGACAGGATGCGTGTCTGTCTATCTGCGTGTATATGTATTTTTAATCTGTCTAATGTCTGACATCCAGTAGTTCTACCTGCCATTTCGTGATCCATTTACTTGTTCATTTACCCGGACCTATAGACCAACGTAAAAACGCTGAACTACCATTACCTAACTGACGTTAGCCGAGTGGGTGTTTGTCAGAAACGCTTACAGTAATAGCAGGAAAGAGGGGTTAAAAACGTTGATGAAATAACGAAGTAGGAAGGCTTGTAATTAAACCACAAGAAACCTTTGAAAAGAACGTTGTTTTGTTAATAATGGCAACATGACCCGAGGGCTATCGCCAAAAAATAACTACATGCATTAACAGTTAATCAATCAGAAATGAAAGTGGTAAATTCGGATTTACTCTTGAAAATTATTTCACTTCAATTAACTTTTTCATGCACTGCGTTACGAAAGGTCTCTCAGACATAAACGAACGTTCCTTGTTTTATGCATGTAATAGCCAAGGAATGTAATTTATATGCAGAAATTTAAAAGTAAAGGAAGACGCTCATTTTGTTTTTATTATAACCGACTTTGCTATTCCATTCCGGCCTAATTCATATAATCTGGATATAATGCTTCATATAATGATTCAATCAATTTCTAATTTTCTTTTTCTGCTACTCAGCATGTACGTCTCAGGTTGCAACCGTGTCATAAATATTACTCAGTGTTTGATGTTCGAGACGCTGGCTTACCAACAGGATTAAACTGACTCTTTCTCTATATGAAGATTGCTGATGTAACCAAACTTGACGCATTCTAGCAGAAATGTTGCGAAATGTATAAACACAAAAGAACACCTATATTACATGCATTATGTTTGCGTTGTAAACAGATTATCCGTCACGAGAAACTCTATTCTGTAATCCATGACAGAAGATCCATCACTGAAAACATGAAAGAAGTGTTTTTTTCTTCTTTTTCCTTCGTGTTCTTCGTATTGCTATTATCAGTTTTCTTTGTTTGGACAAAAAAGCATCTGGCAATATCAAATACTAGAACTCGTGAATTCATGTTGCATCACTTTGATGACAGGTTTCTTTTCAAGCAATGCGAATGCATATGCATATACAGAACGTCACAATAGTGCATTGTGACCTTATGTAAGTCGCGTATCTCATGGTAGGAGAGAAACAACGTCTTTCAAATGTTTGTTTTAACGAAAGGAGCCGCGTACTATTGAACATAAGAAATGGCAGACCCAGCATCCGCGCAATACGGAAATCGGAGTTTGCTTTAGCTCGCCGTATAGCACGGATGTATAGCAACTGGAAGATTAAATGGACATGTAAGTCAGGTGCAGGCTCGGTCATACTAACGCCATCGTCAACAGTATCACAAGCTATATCGCTGTGTCTTCTCAATAATCTAATCTGGTAAAAGAATGAGCAACGACCCTACCTTTCTCATATGAGTTCCTTGGCGGGACAATTGGGACAGTAATCACGATAGTGTTAAATATTTGATACATGCATATACGGACAGTTGATAGAGCAGTGTTACATGTGAATACGGACAGTTGATAGAGCGATGTTACATGTGCACACGGACAGTTGATAGAGCGGTGTTACATGTGAATACGGACAGGTGATAGAGCAGTGTTACGTGTGCATACAGACAGTTAATAGAGCAGTGTTACGTGTGAATACGGACAGTTGACAGAACAATTTTACATGCATATACGGACAATTGATAGAGCGGTGTTACATGTGAATACGGACAATTGACAGAGCAGTGTTACATGTGTATACGGACAGTTGATAGAGCAGTGGTACGTGTGAATACGGACAGGTGATAGAGCAATGTTACATGTGAATACGGACAGTTGATAGAGCAGTGTTACGTGTGCATACGGACAGTTGATAGAACAGTGTTACATTTGAATACGGACAGTTGATAGAGCAGTGTTACATGTGAATACGGACAGTTGATAGAGTGTTACATGTGAATACGGACAGGTGATAGAGCAGTGTTACATGTGAATACGGACAGGTGATAGAGCGGTGTTACATGTGAATACGGACAATTGATAGAGCAGTGTTACATGTGTATACGGACAATTGATAGAACAGTGTTACATGTGAATGCGGACAATTGATAGAACAGTGTTACATTTGAATACGAACAATTGATAGAACAGTGTTACATGTGAATACGGACAGTTGATAGAGCAGTGTTACAAGTGAATACGGACAGGTGATAGAGCAGTGTTACAAGTGAATACGGACAGTTGATAGGTCTAAAACATCATTGATTCACGCGTTCATTTTTCAGGTTGTTTTTTCGAAGAACGCCCAATTTTATTCCCGGAGAGCTTTTTCCATACTTGTCGCCTTTTATCTGTGTAATCCATAGTCGTAACAAAGTAGATAGCCTTTGTGTTTGTTTGATGGGATTAAATGTCTTTTCACTTGTCTAAAGTCCATTAACAGAAGACTGTTTATCGCTAGTGAAACGAACAGTGTCCATACGCCTTGGGTACTCAAAGTAGGATCGTAAACTACATACTAAGCATTTCATTGCCCGACGTAAATGCAACTTAACAGGATGTCTTTCAAGAAGGTGGTTTTGGTATGAGGATGAGAGGGTCAGTTGGGTTTAATGCCGCTCTGACCAGTACTCCTGTGTGTCTGTTGAATGTGGGAGGAAGGCTCGATGTTGTAGTGTTAAACTCAGAAACGTTATCAGGACAAACCGGGATTCGAACCGTCAATCATAGGTTTCTGGTATACTCGAAGGACTCCTCTGCCCTCTATAATATCCAGAGCGGGTGAGTAGATAAATGATTTTCTCGACACCCAAAAGGACCGGGTTCGATTCCCTACGTCATTGCAAAGTGTGAACTCCTGTGGTGTTCCACGAGTGTGATATTGCTGGAATATTTCTAAAAGCGGCGTAAAACTAGATTCACTTACTCATTCCAGAATATCAAATCAAACCATTGAAACGAATCCCATTAACCTCGGCTTGTTTGGCAAGGTTAAGAGTTTTGTGTTCATGAACAGAATCTTGAAGACGGGTTTGGAATGATTGTGCCTTCGATGATGACTAATTGTTCCAGTTTTACATTTTCGTAATTCTTATTCATGTTAACGACACAATGATTATACGAGAAATATGCATTCCTATATTGTTTCGATAATTAGTTGGTGGATACTGTTACTTACCTTTTTGATAATATAACTGCATGTAGGTATTATAGAGGATTCCAAAGTCTTTGGCTCTTGCTGTTTAGCACTTAAACAAAACCCGTTTGCCTGGACATGACGTTGATATACCAAGGATCATAATCGGGGTAAAATTGGGATTCGAACCAACGTGCGAGAGTATTACTGCGGTGCTTCGAATCAACAAGTCATTAGTTAACATCTCCTTTGCATACTAATGGTTGATGATGTGAACAATAAATCATTAGGGCACGATATCCCAGTTAGATCGAGTTGAAATGGGCGACACAGGATAAACACTTGGTAAGTTACGCTGAAAATAGATACATGAATTGGTAACATATTTATTGTTTTATCGGGCAGGTAGTTAAATACATGAATAAAATACCGCTGATCTAATGTACATTGATAACAACAGTCCTTTACTTTCAGTTTTCTGACGAAGACGTCGATACGCGTGACGACGTCAACTCAACGTCAAATGACGACAGAAGAAAATCCAACATGGCGGAATTCCTTTTCACCGCACCTTGCCCCCCTATCTGGAACTTTACTTTGGCGTGCAACTATTTCTCCAGAAAGACAATTAGTTGTGAGGAGAGTACATCTATTCTAAAACGATGCCTTCAGCATTATGATTCTTACATTCCATGTAACACAACGCTTGACGTCATAGAACGGTGTATGGAAGAAAACGCCACAGAGTGTGAAAGTTTGTTTGATTTATACAACAATTACTGCTTAAATACGTGTAGAACTTACTGTGGTGAGACCAAGGAAAAATACTTCCAAGGAAATGATACAGATTCAGGGCTGATATTGACAGGTGTAAAAGTACCAAAGGACGGTAACTCTAATGGTTCAAACAACAAGGGGAAGAACTCCACCCATACTGTTGTAAACTATAATGGAATACTTTTTAATATTTCTGACGCTAATAATACCCATATTAAAATCATCAGTGTGAGAGGCGTACGGGTACCTGACCACTGGACGTGTGGAGTTTTGTGCATCATCCTCTTGATTGCAGGGGCTTTTGTTTTAATCGGAATACTTGGACTCATAGCTTTCTGCACAGTGAAAAGGTAAAGTAACATTTTAAGTTCATTTCCTTATGGTCAACTCTCATTGTCAATAGCCATTACCAACTGAGGCCTTAATGGGATTCAATCGATGCTTCTGACCTTTGTGGCCAGGTTCATTCCGCTGATGAAACAGGACACTGTCCAAGCGTGCTCATCAGCTGCGCTTCCATCGGGTCATTAAGTTTGATTAGAATTGTGCCCTTTCTTCTAATCGACAGGGCATTAATGACTTGGGCACCGACACAGCATACTTTGTTACATTAATACTGGTACAGGACGGAGTTTGGTAAAGGTCAAATGATAATTAAGAAAGTAGAGATAACTTTTCGAAATCTTTATTAAACTTACCACATATGCATTCAGTGGATGGGAACTATAATTAGTTCATTGTGGTCATTGCATGTACTGGACGTATGACAACATCAATTGTAGAGTTACGAAACCAGATGTGTAGAAAAGGCTGATTTTAGTGTTTTTAGATGATTCTGATTCCACATTCGATTTTGCGAATACTTTTGTTTTCAGAAAGTGATAAATGTACCTGAATGCTGACTGAAATAGAATATACCTCAATCCGCCATTGTTTAAACGGATATCAAGGCTAACGGCACCATATATCTGAGCAAACGGGATAGGTTATGAGGGTACCAGTCGATTACAGGAAGCAGTTTCGTCGTATTTGAAAGGATGAATTCAGCAAGAAGTCGATTTTGAAGTTGGGACAATAAGTTAACTTATAGATCTGCTGAACCCTTTAACGTCATACGAGAATACGTTAACAGATGTCACCTGTTGTTACCTTGCCCGGTGCTCAGTGTTAGGGGGATAAAACAAGGAGTGGTTTGGTTGGCGCCATTATACTGCGTCTTAGTGTGATTCATGTTGAACTGCGTAATATCATCTCAGGAGGCCAGCGATATAGATCCGGCAAAAGCAAAATTGACATTAAATTACATTTTGCAATTGTATTAAGGAGACATATCAGGTGCTTTTCAGTCCATTCTGATATACTAACATTGAGAAACATATGTCATTGAGATATATTTATGTCGTCAGGAAATGGCCGCACATCCTTTTCGCATCGTTAATATCTGACTATTTTAATGTTACATATGGTGCTTGAGATAGCTTATACGTTTTTAGTCAGGTTTTTACAACGCAGTATTTTGGCAGTCAGGAGTAATCAACCACAGAGAATATTTTGGGAACAGTCGGCCTGTATAGTAAGGACATTTTGTAAAACTTGAGGTCAAATTATTTTTTGAGCATTTTATGGAACAATTTGTAGACATCCTCGGTGTCTCCATATATATCGAAGAGGCAGACCGTAATACGTGTACGTTAGAATACCCGATAACCTATAAAACTGTCGAACTGATAAATGTTCAGCACATCATTCATCCCCTCAGGATCTGCGTGTGCTAATTTTCATCATCCAAATATGTCACGACACACATAATTTCCTCCAACTTCAAGACAGAGAGCGACAGGACATGTTGTTTCAAAAGAAAGTTTCCAAGTGTCTGTCAAAGTGACTCTCCCTCGTGTTATTTTTCATCAAAATACACACATGCCCATTTTCGTCCCAGACATAGTGATGTATAAAAGACACTCGAGCGTCACTAAAATCCCCAAGAGGGCTTTGGGAGACACATAATTAGTGCTTGAAAGAGCGTAGTCTAACTAATCTAAAACTTTTGACAGAACCCAATTCAAAACTTTTTAAAACGTTTTTCCAGACTGATCTAGAGGTCGAACCAACTACATAAAGATAAGGACTCAATTTATCTTCCGTAGAGGAACCGGTCTCCATTTACCAGCGTTCAAAGTGCTACGAAGCTAATCGTTGATATAGGTTCCTTAATTATTAATAAATCATGATTGAACATCCTGTGCAATTTTACCTGAGGTGATGGGTCTGCTGTAGCTTACTTGGCTCTCTGTCTGGGGTTGGACACCAATGATAATTGACAAGAAATGAACTAATTGTCTGTCGCTGTCAACCTGAGCACATCCTGAGAAGACGAAAAGAAACATTAAACTTTCATGCGGGGCTGTGATTCTTAATGAAGGTGTGTTTGAAGGTCCGTTTAGCAAAGGATCCATTTCTGACAAACAGGAGATGACGTAGGCTTGATATGATTTGCTTGGTTTACAGATCCGTCTGTCCTAATTATCAACGGTTATGAGAAACTAATGAAATGAGGATGAAATAGTTTTCATTATAGTGCCGACGGCAAACACTGACAATGAGAGAGGCCGTCCGATTTTAGACTGATAATATTCCAAAACTTAAAAAAGAAATTACCACCTACAGATTCAAATTCAAATTTAAAATAACTTCAAAAATCCCGTAAAAGCAGTGTGGTGTTGACCAGTAATGATGTGTATCAAACTAAGCGTATCAAAAGTGGAAACTGTGTACAGTCAATTAATTTTCGCTGTTACGGTAAACAACTCGACAGTACACGTCGCATCCGTTCTGATAAATGGTGAAAGAACCATAAAACCATAACTTCCGTCACTCAAAATGACTTTCATTCTGTAAAAGGGTTTTCGGTTTTCCTTCTACTTGAAGCTGACAAGTCATGATATAACCGATACATTCTTCAAAGCGGTTTTAAGCCCATCTCACCACACGCGGCCACTCACAAAGAAGATCTCTCCACAAGGAAAATGTAAAAGCATTAACTGAAGCTGAAGCTATCGGTATCTGCCATTCACGCCACAATCATTGAGTAATACATCACGGTTTAAAATAGATTATCTGCTTTCGGAACCATTCTATTCAAATGGATGCGAATGACCTACCTGTCTAAGCATATATCTGTCTTACTCACTATAAACGGTGTTTTTATTGACTTGTAGCTACAAAAGAACCTACCTACTTTCTCCTGGTGTGGACGGATTCTCGATCATGAACAAACTACGCTCACAACCCTACATGAATCGTAATCCCTAAAAACTGCAATTTGATTTCCTTCCTAAAACGCTTCAAATATTTGTATTTATAATTCGATATAGCAGCCTTCAATGTATTTATCGGGTCGGAATCGTCAAGAGGGTACACATTTTGTTGTCATTGCTGGGCGTATCGGAGAATATGCTGAAGAATCTTCGATAAGTAATTATATTACTGCACTATTTAAAATGCAAGGACTCGTATTTGAAAGCATGTGTCTAAGGAAGTGAATCATATTGGATCTGTCGATCACGACGCATGAACTAGACTGAAGCATATTAGTGCAATTCAGATTTGACATAGCAATCTGTTAAAAAACTCAGTTGGGCAATCCTTAGGTCTTTGAAGCGCGAAGGCAGTATTTAAATCGTCTATAGGAAGCAGTACAGACATAGAATGAGCGCAGCTAAGAAACAACCTAGTGTTTAGAGCTATACTCATCCGCTTTCAATGGACTGAAACACGAGGGAAACGACATTAGTTTGCTGTAGCAAAATGAAAAGAAAATATATATAGAGGAGGATAAGATGCCTTACATCAACCAGCAATAACTGAAAATAGCCTACATCAGAGTTTGTGTAAATAATTCATCAGCTATTGACAGCGTAACTGTTTCTCCCATTGTACCACGGCTAGAACTCCTCCAATCCATCAATACATGGCCGTCAGTTAGCGTCCACATAAAGAGCAGATTTGAATGGTTCTTCTGCAAAGTCTACATCGCAACCGCAGCCTATATTTGATCTAATTACTATTCTGAAATAACGCGTGTGTAATATGATGAAGAAGGATCATGAAACATTCAAGGGTTATCAGTCTAATCACGCGTCAGGCCCTGCAGGTCGGTGAACACCACACTCTCTGAGTTCTGACCAGAAAGCCAGACAACATAAGAGGCCGGTCGTGCATGCTCTGTTGTACGACTGCCATGTCGGACCCCGTGGCCCGTCACTGTCAACAGCTTCAGGTATAGCTTACAGCCTAGGTTAATATCTGTGTGATGTCGACCTGATATCCTGTGAAGGGACGGCCCGAAAAACTCATTTATGACTGTGTGATGTTAAGGAATGGAGAACATCAGAGGCTTCTTTGTCTTAGATCAGAAACAAGACTTGCCAGACGTGCTGCGACAGAAATAGGGTTGCAGTTTTTCTGTTGGTCTTTTGTCAGTGGTCGAGAGGTGTGATAGACACAACTGTATAATGTTTTTATGAGGCCATTGTCACACCGAGATCAATATAACAATTCAATTATTAATAATTGGGGTCAAACGAACCTGGAGTTGACAGTACATCTGGACAAGCCACGTGGGACCCGAAATATTTCAACAACACGCAATCAATCAAATCACCAGGCTTGACCACCAGTTCCTTTCCATCGTCTCTCACGACAAGCAAGAGCGTCTCGAGGCCCATCTCAAACCTTTGTACTTACGCGTGGCTACTTAAGGTTGCTCCCGACTGAGTCGAGTGAACGTTTTCTGACACACTTTTCAAGCCACTTAGGTTCACGATACAAGTTACAGTATGCCAGCATAGACTGTGTCACAGTCCCTGAGCCACATTATTTTCCCTAATGCCTAGCCTTCACAGCAATGCTAAAGCCCTAAATGAATCAAGTCTAGATTTCCCCAGGAATCTCCCAACTCACTGGGGCCCCTTTCAATTTAAATGTGTTTATTTGTTACTATCAAAATGGTTTATATTCAGAGACTAAGCGTTAGTCTCTATGCCAGCAGTGCATTGGTGGCCGTCAGTCAAGTTACGTCTCCTACTCAAATCATAAGTGAGTGACTGATTTTAGCTTTAGGCCGCTTTTAGCAATATTCCAGCAATATCACGACGGAGGACACCAGAAATTGGCTTCACACACTGTTTCCATGTGGGGAATCGAACATGGGTCTTCGACGTGACCAGCGAATGCTTTAACCACTCGGCTACCCCACCGCCCCTGAACCAGCAATATGGTTTTGATTTTTTAAATTATATTTCATCATGTAGATGAAACACTGGCATTTTGCTTTTAAAAACCGATACAAGTAAATCCAGAAACAGCGAACAATCAATTTTACGATGACACCACCAGATGCAGTTGCTGGGAATACGAGCTTCAATGTCGCAAACGAGTTTAAAGACTGGGCTATATATAGTTAGATCGTATAGTTCTACTTTTTCATTATGTCGTAACATACGCAGCTCACATCAACCTCTCAAGTGACAAGAGTCTCTTTGAATAAAACACGACACTGACATTATCGACACTTCTCATTTCTTGCACCGATACTTGGATATTACTATTATTATATAATTGTTTTTTCTTGAACTTCACCTTTTGCGTTATCAGACAATACCAAACATCGAAATCTACAACATCGAATATGAGACAAAATGATAATAACAACAACAATAGAATAATAATAATAACTAGCTTTTTAATAATTTCAGACGAAAAGACAATAATACATTCTCTGTAATAGGTTATATACAGCCTCCAACATATCCATGCCGACAATGTTGATGTTGAAACCAATGAAATCCTATATATCATTGCATGCTCTGTCTTTTTTGACATTGATGTGATTGACAAGAATCAGTGGATCTCACGTACGAAATGAAACACTTGCATCCCAAGTACCTGGTTGTTCGACGATCAAGTTTTCTTGGTACCTTAGGCGTGGTACCTCTAAAGCTGTTGATTGACACTGGGAGAGCACCCAGTTTGCTGGAAAGTACCCATAGTTTTGGTGAGTGAGTGAGCGAGTTCAGTTTTACGCCACACTCAGCAATGGTCCAGAATATGGCGGCGGTCTGTAAATAATCGAGTCTGGACCAGACAATCCAGTGATCAACACCATGAGCATCGATCTAAGCAATTGGGATACGATGACATGTGTCAACCAAGTCAGCGACTCTAACCACCGATCCCTTTGTCGCCTCTTACGACAAGCCCGAGTTACTGAAGATCAATTCTAACCCTACTCTTCACGGATCATAGTTTCGGGGCTGGAAGATAGGCCAGTAGTACAGGTTGCCGCAACCTACCGTATCGATCATCCCTTAGCTATCCCGATCCATTTGCTGTGTTTGATGCTGATATAGTCATCTTATATATGACCTTTGATATTTCAACACTGGCTTGAGGGGTTTCAACCGGGTTGTGAACATTTACAACGTCTATCACTTACAGTATTCTCAAAAAAGATCCGCTACAGGCTTTGATGTAATAGTGACACGGTCCAATCAGCTTTAAACCTCCATTACGCTCTTTTTCGATGAAACATTCGAAACGCCTGAATATGAAATAGAGCATTGTGACTGAACAAAATCTGACGACTGTAACAATAATTCATTTTTCAAAATAGTGTCAAGGCACAATGCATCTGATAAAGTTAAACATACCCGTACAGGCGTACCTACAAAGAAAGTGTGTTGCCACCATGTGCTTCATTACTTCATATGGAAATGTGAGACTCGAAGAGTTTGTCGCCATATTGACAGGTGAGCCCTTGGCAACATGGTGTCTATGTTCTGACACTGTATATCACGTGCAAAGTCAGGGGTTTGATTTGCAGAGATCTGCAAAATGCACGTTGCCATGACGACGGGGTGTATTTGTTTCCCATCTGTAGTCTTCAGTAGCATTGTGCATGGACATGTAAACGCCATTGAACGACACAGTTCAAGTAATGTTTACATAAGTTAAGTAACTTCGGTAAAACCCTTTCAAAGCCAGTGTGTTCAATCATTCGAAACTGAATGTACAGTAATGACAACGATGGCAGGTGAAATTAGGACACGCGGGAAACGTGTTGATTATTGACACATTAAACAATGGGACATATATATATATATATATATATATATATATCACAGGGTTAGACTTGATCTATAAAAATCTATGCTTGTGGCAGGGTGTGTCTGAACCGCACAGGTTGTCAAGCTCCGTGAGTCAGTTGATAATGTGTCAATGTACCCTGATAATGTGTCAATGTACCCTGATAATGTGTCAATTTACCCTGATAATGTGTCAATGTATCCTGATAATGTGTCAATGTACCCTGATAATGTGTCAATTTACCCTGATAATGTGTCAATGTATCCTGATAATGTGTCAATGTACCCTGATAATGTGTCAATGTACCCGAAGGACGTAGATGTGGCTCATACATGAAATATCAATCACTGGATTGTCTTGTCCAGACTCGGTTATTTACAGACCGCCATCGTACTAATCTAATAAAGCTGAACGCTAAACTTCTCGCACTTAACAGCAAACAATAGAACAGAACATTTCGATACTTTCAGGCCACTATCCATGGCATATGAAGTTTAATGTACAATATTATTCAAAATAAATGCATGGCGTTCGGATAATTGGCTATATTTATGTCCATACTAATTACATAATAATGTTTAAATTTCATCAAAGTTCTCTCCCGCATCGTAAGAGGCGTCTAACGGGAAAGGGTGGTCAGGCTTGCTGACTTGGTTGACACAGGTCCTCGGTCCCAGGCTTGCCGACTGCTGTTTGACACAGGTCCTCGTATCCCAACTGCGTAGATCTATGGTCATGCTGTTGATCACGTAGGAATGTCCAAGCTGTTTAATATCAGATAGCTTATGATACTATATCTCTATTTGTGAACATCTTGGGACACATTAGGTGAACTCATCAAACTAAATGTTTTCGAGGGTTCTTGTGCAAATATATCAGCTGCCAGCTGTCTTAATGAATCATACTGCCTATTTCGTCTTCACCCATGATCTCACCCGTAAAGGCCCGGGTTAGAATATTGATCTTCAGTAACCCATGCTTGTCGTAAGAGGCGAATAACGGGATCGGGTGGTCAGGCTCGCTGACTTGGTTGACACATGTCATCGGTTCCTAATTGCGCAGATCGATGCTCATGCTGTTGATCACTGGATTGTCTGGTCCAAACTCGAGTATTTACAGACCTCCGCCATATAGCTGGAATATTGCTGAGTGCGGCGTAAAACTAAACTCACTCACTCACTCACCCTCGATCTGTATTTTTACAAATGCGAACGAACACAGAACATCACTGTACGTTCATACTCGCTTTTGAGTATGGATTCCACATCTCACAGAGACGACAAGGTGTATAAATTACCCACAACAAAATAGAAGCGCTACCCTATTTTCTACTTTGGGAACTTTTGGAGATACAAAATTGTTGGTTCTAGTCATTCGTTCACTTGTACAAATAATTCAGAAGTCTCGACGACGATTGACCTCTAATGGAGGGGTCCTCATCTTTGCAATTGTATATCTAATAATCTAATTATCTATCTATCCAATAATATTATAACCCAATGATATCAAATGATCTGTGTCCATCGGGGAGGCCAGAGACATGGCATTATACATGCATTGGTTTACAACGATCAACATGTGAAGAGTGAGCTAGCGCTGCATATGTAACTAAAAGTTAAAACAAATTGGGATATATTCAGCCCTACCTAATACACCAGAGATTTCTTCGCCACCATCGGGATGGTTGTCTCCCCAAACCCGTACAGCCCAGTATTCCTACAATTAGTTCAACCACAACATATTTCATAATGCTTTAGTTACTTTAGCCTGTTTTAAAGTATGTTTAAACAAAGATTTTCATTTGGATAAAACATCATAAATATTCGTTTCGTTATTCCCGATTCCCATTTTGGAGAAACGAGATGGCCGCAAGTATTTAAACAAACCACAATGCAATAAACGCTCGAGGAACTTAAATGTGCCACCTTTTATCTTCCAGATACCGCCAAGAAGAAAACTCATACAGAATCCACAGCCAAGATGTAAGGTTTTCGTCTTAATGAATTTCAACCAATTCAAACTACTCACCCCAGAGACAATGTACCGACACATTTAAAAGTCAATACCATCCCAAGTAAGACAAGTGTCCTGGCGGGAATATGAACTAGTCTTGCGTAAGATGGATGAATAGAAACCATCAATGTTAATTACAAGAGTAAAGATTTTTCACTAGAATATTCAACAATCACTTTAAAAGCTAAAGGTTTGCCAGGTCGCTGAGCGCGCTTTTCTTAGAAACATTAACAAGATGCACTTGATCGCGGAAATACATTTTAGCAGGAGGAAACAGGATTTGGAAACGGGAAATGGCAATATTAGAATTGGCGTAGTTTTTACATTATTCATTCTCGAGTTCAGATTGTGCGAATCGGTGCATTCAAATCTCATATTTTTTATTTCAGAAATGTGTCGGGCCAGACGAATGTGGCACAATGTCAGACAGCGCGTTGTTGCCCACAATGGGCTTGAAAGCGAAGCAACATCACTTTCATGGAAGATACAGACACCAAGCTGTGCGAGACACGTCTTTCACACAAGTACATTTTCCAAATGGATCTTCCAGACTGTTAGGAGAAATATTACCTGTAGAAGAGATGGAGAATACGCAGCTTTGAGGATGGGGGTTCCTTGGGTGTCTGGATGCTGTGGCTGATGAAGAGTGTATCATTGAGCATATGTGCTTGACGGGGATGTTGGGGCATATCATCACATTCATGTTTATCTATATCGATTGAGATTGTAGAAGAAAGTGATATCTAGTTTGCAATTCATATTACGCCATATCAACGCCTTAACGCATAATCACAGCGTGGATATTGCCTTAAGTCACAATTACGGTATCGTCGCAAATGGTAGTGTAACCGTAGCCCTGAAATACCAAAAAACGTGTTGCTTTAATTAGAATATGTTTACAGAAAATCAGTATTCCATAGAACCATGAAGAAAAACCCCGGTAAATTAACTCAGCAGAAGTCACTAGAATCACGTTCGTTCTACCTCCATTTCCTAATTCTGTGTACAAGACGGGCTCCTCTTTTAACAAGAAATGCGCACAAGAACAGTGACGTTTGAGTAAGTGCGACGTTGCGAGATGTTCCAACCAATTTATGTCCCAGTGTATCACAGACCCACAGAATGATTGGGTGGTCTGCGTGGAAGGAAGTGTAAAGGAAGTGTGTGTTTACACAACGAAGCATTTATAATCTTTTATGGAACCGGACGTTCCATTGTTTGGTATTGTACAGTGCTAATGCGTCATTATCCGTAACTTAACATATCATCGTATCAGTCTAATATTATGTGGCGCAAGTAGGTGTGGTATTACTTGCTTGTAGGACTATCCGTCCGGAGTGACCCAAATGTGGTAGAAAGTAAATAATTTGAAGAGCAATCTTTTTCCCGCTGGCACCAGTGATACAAGTTTCGAAGTAGACTTAAAAGAAATTTTACTGTTGAAGATATCCTTATATACAAGAAAAATGTTTACTTTTTAATATTTTTGTTGAAGCAGTACTATAGTTGACATATATGAGATCAGTGAAAAGCATATTTTTTGCATTCTTTTTCGTGATCGACAAAAAACCCCGAAGGTTTCCAAAACAAATCCATCAACTAAACAAAGAATGAAAAAAGCTGATAACTGCAAACATAAATATGATCCGACATTGGAAGAAACCTGATTTTATGAAAAACATTGTACGCCCTTACACAATGAAACACCCACACTCACCCACACAAACACGATAGTGGCACATAATGCGTCGTATTGTATCGAAAACATTGCATTAATACGATGACGACGACGACGACGACCGGCATTGCTACTGCCAGTACTTCCATACCTCTCATAACACATATTTGACTTGACAATATCCATGAAGTGAATAATTTCTGTTGAACTATTACGCGCATAGCTTTAAATGTGTGTTGATATAGTGAGGGGACTTTAATGGATAAGTACAATTGGTATTAATTCATTAATTTAAGTAGAACCTCACGTTTCTGTACATATACTAAAATACACCGTACATATATTCTCGGTACACACACTCTGTAAGTCTGTGTGTGTGTGTGTGTGTGTGTATGTATGTATGTATGTATGTATGTATGTATGTATGTATGTATGTATGTATGTATGTATGTATGTATGTATGTATGTATGTATGTATGTATGTATGTATGTATGTATGTATGTACATGTATGTGTGTATGGAGAGAGAGAGAGAGAGAGAGAGAGAGAAAGAGAGAGAGAGAGAGAGAGAGAGAGAGAGAGAGAGAGAGAGAGAGAGAGAGAGACAGAGATAAAGAGAGAGAGAGCGCGCTTACAGTTCTCCTGTGTAGACACATGTGCATCTGCAAAGATAATCAAACTGCAATGATGTCTGAGCAAATACACTGGCATCACTCAACGCAATCTCACTGTAAAATACACACTGATGTGTTTTTACAAGAAAAACATCACATGCACCAAAACAACGAAAAAAAGTCCTCCAGGAAATACAACCTACCATCCACGGTTCTCACAACAGATTCACCTGAGTTTCTGAAGACAACCAAAGCACTTTTGCTTTGTCCTTTTAAGATTGACCATGTGGAAATTGACACCTGCACAGAAACCATAGCTCTTTGCCTTTTTCAGAAATACGAAATGAAATACCTATCATCACCATTAACTTTCAAAATTGTGATATTTACGTCAATGAAATATTAGATAAAAGACGTTAATATACGTTGCTGAAAGACTGTCTCTCGTGACACAAACACATACAGCCTTTGATTCAGCGGTATCCGTAAAGATCATTGCTAAATATTGCCATGTTGCTTTATAAACTTCAAATGGTTACGCAATAGTTATACGTGTAATGTGTTTTAAAAGTAATGAAGAAGTACGTGATTAGACTGTTACTTAGACATGTATCAACAAAGAACAGAAAAATGTTACGAGGAAAGAAAATTGTACATTCTATGAGTTTTGGATTGAGTGTCGGTCTTTCCGATTATTAGTATGGCCATTAAGCAAGTCGGTGAATTTTATGACCCTTGAAGATCCGTGTTAGAATTGGACTTCACCAATCCATGTTTGTCGTATGAGGCGTGTAACGGGATCGGGTGGTCAGGCTCGCTGACTTGGTTGACACGTGCCATCGTATCTCAGTTGCGTAGATCGATGCTCATGCTGTTGATCACTGGATTATCTGGTCCAGACTCGATTATTTACAGACCGCCGCCATATAGCTGGAATATTTTGCTAAGTGCGGCGTAAAACTAAACTCACTCACGGTGAAGATAACCTCCAGTAGGTATAACCGTTTTGTGGTCACTAGTAATAGGTTCTCGTCGTAAGAGGGACCTGCATGTAAATGGAAAGGGTTATCAGCCTCGGGTACCAATTATATCAATCACTGACCAGTGGCCGTCTTATAACGGGGCTGATTATACCTAGGGTTAAACAACAAAAAACATTGCCGTTTGATATCATATCACATGTATTTGCCCACCTGTAGTCGGATATCATATCAGTACGGACTCAAAGCCCGATATCTACAAGCATATTAAGTGTATCAAGATTCTTTTATTTTTGTACAATGTCATCACGTATAATGTTGTATTTTAGTAAAATTTGTATATATACTAATTATACATGTGTATGCGAGTCGTTCCTACTTGCCCAAAGCTGTACATAAGACCTTGGAGTGAGTATAGTTTTACGCCGCTTTTAGCAATATTCCAGCAATATCACGGCGGGAACAACAGAAATAGGCTTCACACATTGTACCCATGTGGAGAATCGAACCCGGGTCTTTGGCATGGCGAGCGAACGCATTAACCACTAGGCTTCCCCACCGCCCCACATGACTGACTGACTGAGTTTGGTTTTACGCCGCTTTTAGCAATATTCCAGCAACATCACGGCGGGGACACCACAAACGGGCTTCACACAATGTACCAATGTGGGGATTCGAACCCGGGTCTTCGGCGTGACGAGCCAACGCTTTAACCACTAGGCTATCCCCACATGACCTTGAATACGACCTACTAGTGTAAACAGGTAATGAGACCACTTTCTGAAAGTGTGTTCAAATTTGCACAAAGCCGGTGCAAACTGGGATTCAATCAAAGCGATTTGCTTGGATATCAACCTCAATCAGACCTCCATCCATTTCAAGTGTCGTTTCAATGGTCACCATTTACGACCGTCGTTAACGAAGCAACTGGGAACCTGTATGATGGGGATAATGTAGAAGTTACTCACATCAACTGGGATGCGTCTGTTACAGGCCAGCTCTTTCAAAATAAATATTCTTGCGGGGTTTCATGTCACGGTTTATCGAACGATTTGGGTGTTGAGTTACCAAATTGGGGCGTATCAACTATACGGCGCAGGACTAATGCTGACTTTGTGGGCTTCCTTAAGTGGTTTATGGACGTGTATTTTGGTTGTGTGGCTATCGATATTTCAGGCTTGAGATTCAGGAAGTGAGAATAAAGACACGAGGCCCATCTGTGGATTCTGTATGTGGTTTGGATGACAAGAAATGTGAATGAACACTCTGAACTCGGGGCCGATTTATGGAGATTTTATTTTCAGATTAAGAAAATGGGAATGAGATCTGAGAATTGGGCTTCAGATCGTGAGTTGGGTAGGAATGAGGATGTGATAGAGGAGGAGGTATAAGAAAAGAGAAATGGGAATTTTTAAAACGGAATTGGATTAAAATCTGGCATTTGGGTTTGGATTTCAATTTGATATTGATAATGGTCTCAAAGAACCAAGATTCCATATTTCATGATAAGAATAACCTTTCAATCTTCAATTACTCAATGAGGACATTAGTTTCATAGCTTTCGTAAAGTGGAATACATAATTGTGTTGACTGGTTGTTTGGTGCGATTATACACGTTTACCAGATCAATAACTGTCAGCTTTAAATGCTGGTTATGCATCACGTTGTGTTGAAATGTCACCTGTCCTTCACCGCTCATTATGTGTTTATGTTTGTTGACTATGTATCTGTTTAGCACATCAAATGACATTTACTTGTCATCACTGGCATATGGAGAGGAGTGCCACATTGTTGTAATAATTTGTTATTGACATGAACGCCTAGTATAATAAAGTATTGATATTTTTACTATCTGCTATCAGGTGTCGTCAATCGTTCAAGACATTTATAACATTGCTGGATTGATTGATGCGTGAAATATACGACGATAAGTATTTCTCGTTAAAACGTGGGGAATACGAGCTCTTGCAGATGGATTTCAACGATGTCTGGACACAAAAAGCGCTGCACAATCCTTAGAAATCAACAGGACATATGAATCTACCATTTGATATTTATACTGAAACACTTTGAAAACGCATATAATGCTTTTTGGTCATATCTTGCACAGTGGGCACAAAAGTGAAATGAACACTGTGTAGTTTGGCATGAGGTGATCAGAGACAACAATGTCATCGTACGAGTTTGAATCTTATTTGATGCCTTTGCAGATGGACTTGAGCAAAAAAGACCCCACATTATTTCTTGTCCGAAGTCAACGGTACTGGATGTTCAAAGTGTTTCAGTATGTATGAATGGGGGAAAACAGTCCATCCCAACCACTGGTTCCTGTCTTAAACATTCCATGTTTTGTATTGTTTCGACATATTATACTGCTGCTGCGTATGGTGTTTGTCAATCGGATGAAGAACGAAATGTCATCAGCTGAGAAACCGCATGAAATAAACATATGACGTTTCAATAAGAATAAAATACATAAATGTTGTTTTAAGAAGTGGTTAGGAATGGTAGAACCTATCATCACGGAGGTCTGTAATTAAACAAATCTGGAAAAGATAAACCTATGGGTGACAGCAGCACCAATGATTTACGTCATCAGGGCACGATGATCTAAGCCGATAGCACGTTCAACTCTTACTGGAGATTCGTGTTAGAATAAGCTCCTTGTACTCCACGCTGAGACGTGCTGAGGGGATTGAGTGGTCAGGTTCGGTGACTGAGCCATTGTACACCGACCGTATGTATCGCTGCTCATACTATCAGTGCAATATCCCATTATGTACAGGCGCCATAGGGCGGTGGGGTAGCTTAGTGGTCAAAGCGTTCGCTCGTCATGCCGAAGATCCGGGTTCGATTCCTCATATGGGCACAATGTGTGAAGCCCGGTTCTGGTGTTACCCGCCGTGATATTGCTGGAATATTGCTAAAAGCGGCGTAAAACTAAACTCACCCACTACAGGCGCCATATGACTTGGCTATTGCTGATTGCGGCGTTGAGTAACAAACAAACAAATACCATCACGCCGTAATGGTCAAGATACAGGACCTATTCTTCACCAGAATCCAGACGTCGGAATATCAGATGATCTGTCATTTGTCGACAGGCTATATTACAATAACATTCCACTTATTATTTTTTTTTGTTGCTTAATGACGTACTAAACAATATTCCAGCTATATGCCGACGGCTTGTAAATAATGGAGTCTTGACCAAACAATCCAGTGAGGATCTATCAACATTGCCGGGATGGCGATGACAGCCCATCAATCACGCCACGGAGTCTGACCACCCCAAACCCATTTGGACGCGACAAGCATCTTGCAACAAGCATAGGTTATTGTGGATCAATTCCAAACTGGAAATCCCACGGGGGACTCTCATTGAGAAATTGCTTCATCATAAAGGGTTCCACATATACAGCATTAGCATCTAAGTTTGTCTGGGTTGCTGATGAAGGAGAAGCAGAGACTGGGGAGAGAGATGAGGGTCAGTGATCCTTCAGCCCAGGCTCGCAGGCAGCTGATGTCTGCTGATTACATCCGGATTTGCTGGTTACAGCTGATCAAGACATTTAACCTATTTCAAGGACGAGTTCATTATTTATCTAAACAACGATCAAAGAAATTATGTTTTTTATAGAATATATCA